GCACAATGTATGAAATTTTACAATAAGTGCATAAAGAATCTAAATAGCTCCTGGCCAATTCTAACCAGATTTTGTAGGCAAAGGTGATCAACTCAGTTTTCTGAGCTTTCTGGATTTTAGAATTGTAGACAAATCATTGGACCTAGAAAAAGACAGCACACCAGTATTGAAGTAATACAGAGACACAATATTCATTTGGTGGTGTTTGGGCGTGTATTCTAGCAAGCAACAGACATGGTGACCACTGGTCAGGCCAGGAGACTGTGGGATAGAGACAAATAATAGAAAGAAGGCAAAGGCCAAAAGACGGAGACAAAGAAGATCCAGGAAGCCCCTGGGGAGGGAGCTCGGCAAAGACAGAAGGTGATTAGAGAGAGGAATACTTGAGAAAGGGGGCAAATTGAGGGATAGAGGTATTCTAAGGTGGAAATGAAAAGCCAGAATTGACCAATTAGGATGGAGCAGATGTGAGAGTTACCAAGAATGTGATGTAGCCAGTACAAAGGCAGAGCTGGAGGAGATAGGAACTCGGAGAGCAAGAGAGTTGAAGAGCAGACCCAAGGAGAGTAGAAGGGAGATTTCAGAGGTGAGGACACCAGGAAGATAGGGATGGGGGTAGAAGGGCGAGACATGAAAATGGAGGGAAGACAGGCCGGGAGAGCATCTGAGACAGATGCCTGCAAAGGCAGGGAGGAGGGGAGAATAAATAAAGGTGGGAAGGAGAAGAGAGAGGCTTGGACAGGGCCTGTGTCAGAACAATGGGAAGGGGGAGGATGGGAAAGGAGGGCTAGAACTTTATCAGTCACGCTGAACGTATTGTAAAGGCTTTTTACTTTGTAATAACGTTACATTTTCAATCACAATTCTTTAAATTTTTTTTTTTTTTAATTTCGAGACAGAGTCTTGCTCTGTTGCCCAGGCTGAAGTACAGTGGTACGGTCTCGGCTCACTGCAACCTCTGCCTCTCAGGTTCAAGCACTCTTCCTGCCTCAGCCTCCCAAGTAGCTGGGACCACAGGCGTGCACCACCATGCCTGCCTAATTTTTGTATTTTTAATAGAGATGGGAGTTCACCATGTTTCCCAGGCTGGTCTCGAACTCCTGACCTCAATGATCTGCTTGCCTCCCAAAGTGCTAGGATTACAGGTGTGAGCCACCGCGCCTGGCCACAATCACAATTCTTTTTGCATCTTAAAACACTCAGAAGTCTGTTTATCACATGACTGTTGAATCAGCTGTTTTATTTTGGCTTCAGGGCACTTTTCTGATAGCAACATTGACCTTCATTGCAAACTTAATTTTTAAAAATACATACAAAACACCTGGAAGTACAGGTGAGTAAAGCATATGAGAAGCTTATTTTTTGTTTGTAGATAATTAGGCCTCTAATTCCACTACTACTTCACATGTGAAACAAGCACACTCATTTTACCCAAAGAATGTTGAGTTATATGTTGACCAAATAAGTAAACCAAGCCATTCTGGGCTCTTAAATAGATATGTACTCCTAAAAATTAGGTGCAGTTTTTGTTGCATAACTATTTATACAAAACCATTCTTTGTTAATTGAATTTTATTTGGGTTACTATATTCCGGAATTAAAATGTGCCATTTTTCTTTTTCTTTTTGTTTTTTTTTTTGAGACGGAGTCTCGCTCTGTCGCCCAGGCTGGAGTGCTGTGGCCGATCTCAGCTCACTGCAAGCTCCGCCTCCTGGGTTCATGCCATTCTCCTGCCTCAGCTTCCTGAGTAGCTGGGACTACAGGCACCCGCCACCTCGCCTGGCTGTTTTTTAGTAGAGATGGGGTTTCACCGTGTTAACCAGGATGGTCTCAATCTCCTGACCTCGTGATCCGCCCGTCTTGGCCTCCCAAAGTGCTGGGATTGCAGACTTGAGCCACCGTGCCTGGCCAGAAAATGTGCCATTTTTCAATATCAACCTATTAGAAAGCAGCATCCCAATTTTGCCTCTAAAATTCACATGGCAGGCAATTTTGTCACTTCCAGTGAGAGGCCTTAAAACTCTTTGATTACATCTGGTCATATTTATTCACAGTAAGATGAGCACACAAGTAAGCATCTGTTGTGAGATGTATTTAGCTGGCATCTTCTGGGATAACACGTCTCTAAAGGTTTTAACTCCCATGTTCCCAATCTTTTTCCTTCTCCCTCACAGTGGACTTCATTCAGCCCGCAAGCAGGTCAGTCTTTGGGATGACTGGCCTGAAATATACTTGATTTTCACAACTATCCACAGCATGAATATAAAGGTGTGAAATTAAAATTCAGATGGAAAACCTTTTCTCAAGTCAGAGTGGCCAAGTGAAACTGACATCCCTAAGAAAGGACCATGCCAGGCGTGCCTTGAGCTTGGCCACTAGGGGGCAGTCAAACACTGCTCCCCTCAAAATACTGTTCAGGCCCAATTTTGGATAACCTGTTTTGGAGGTTAAGCAAATTATTTGAGTAAGTAGCAATTGGTAGTTACCAAGTAGCAGCCTCAATACTTCATGCTTTTAATTTCCTACATAAGCCCATGTTTTTGATTTGTAATATGGTTCCTAATTTGGCCATTAAGAAATGTTTTTTAAAAGTTTAAAGTTATTTTTAATAACTTTATTTTAGACAGGTTTACTCTCAGAGACAGATACTGTTTTTAGATCTGCCTGTGGCTTTGTAGTTCCCAGTTTAATTATGTTAATGCGAGATAGTTAGTAACAATTACTTGAATTTTATGGACATATTTCAACAGGTTGAAATTCCACAAAACATAATTGGTAGTTACCAAGTAGCAGCCTTAATACTTCATGCTTTTAATTTCCTACATAAGCCCATGTTTTTTATTTGTAATATGGTTCTTAATTTGTCCATTAAGAAATGTTTTTTAAAAAGTAGTTTGAAGCTGGTTAACAAAGATACACAGTGAATAAATTAATGATAAAATACATGTAATAATAATAAGATACGTTATGCGTTATGCGTAGTTGTCTATTAGTGCCTGTAGCTTGAGGCAGTCAGTCACTCATTCCTTAGGCACTCCAGAGTGATGATGGTCAGAGGAGAGCAGATGATCACATCATTTCTAATTTTCTGTTTTGTTTAGATCTGGCCTAAGAGTCTATCACAAATATTATTTAAATTAAAAAGACAACCCTTACTTTTAGGCAATTCTAAATGAACTTTCTTTGGTTACTATGAAAAGCCTTACCATTTTAATTGTCCACAATTTTATTGTGAAAAAGAAAAATGTTTTACTAATTACAGAGCAAATCCTATTATTTTTATAAGTAGAAATAAAATGTCAAAGCATTGATTAATGTGTCTTGCTTTGAAAAGAAATCATTTTAAACATAAATGTTTAAATTAGTAGTCAACAGTAATATAAAATTCGAAAATAAAAATTCCCAGAGATTATAATTAATCAACAAATATTTGTTAGGTTGGTACTAGGAGTTTGAAATATGGCTTTTACTTAGAAATAAAATCAAACGACAATTATTAATTGAATTTTTGTTTTTAGTTGTAAGGGTGACTTTACATTATGGTAAATCACAAAATGTTATTTTAGTAGTAGATGTTTTTCATCTCATAAACGGTTTAAGCAAAATCAATTAAATGCATTATCATGTGTAAAAGCAAAAATATAGTAAAATTGGTTAAACTATGGTTACAGTCCTGTAAATTAAATATTTTTTTAAAGGGCACAGATGATCTCTATGACTTGCCTTAAATCCAAGAAACTACTTTGTAGCTATATATTCTTAAAATCGTATAAAATTGAATATTCAAATGTGGATAGAACATGAACTTCTGAAGTAGGACCTTAAATAGGACCTTAAATAAAGCAATAGACTGCTTGCTACAACTGTATTGCATGCCAGGTGAGTTCATATATTGTTTCTTCTTAGTTAATACTAAGTTTTTCATGTAAGAGATATTAAAATATAAAATAAAAGTCATGCTAGGTGTATGGAGATATGTATTTTAAATATTTGAAGTAAAGTTTTAGTATTCTTTTAAATTCAAAATAAAATTTAGATATTTTAAATCTTTTAAAAATCTTTTGTTTGTTAGAAATTTTAAAATAATTCCTCATAAATGTTGCACTTTGTTTCAAGATTTAAAATATTCACTTGGAATTCACTTAATAAAACTGAATATTTAAAAAACCTAAAACGAATTTTTCAGAAAATAAAAACAATTTCAAATTTTAACCTTTATTCTCAGAGGTTTATCAAAATTCTTTAAGAAAAAATACGAATTAAAATATAAACATTTTTGAATAATAAACCTCAGCAAACCTTGGGTATGATTAATAGGTTGTTAATGAATGTATAGGCTGACAACGAATCTTTTTCTTTAAAAGCAAGTGAAGATTTAAGTTTTATTTTTTAGTGAGCTTTACTAATGAAAATGGTGCTGACTTGAAAATTAAGAGTTTGACTGAAATAAAAATTTCCACAAATTAAAAGCAAAAGAAAATTATCTAAGTAAATGCACTTTTATAGACATTTAATAACTTTATTTTAGAGAGGTTTACTCTCAGAGACGGATACTGTTTTTTAGATCTGCCTGTGGCTTTGGAGTTCCTAGTTTAATTACATTAACGCAAGATAGTTACTAACAAGTACATGAATTTTATGGACATATTTCAACATGTTGAAATTTCACGAAACACAATTTTAGTTTATTAATTTGTCATACAAATGCCAAAAATATTTTCTGCATTTTAATTGATATAGTCAACATTGTTTTTTGACGTACTTTATCTACAGCTTTAACAACATACAAAGGCATGCTTCCATGAAAAATTTGTTGCATCTAAAAATTACTAGGCTGTATGGGACTAAAAGCAATGAAAGGTAATGACAAATACAAGGCAAATTTGATGTCCTTTTTTTTTTAAACACCCTAATACATTTTTTACAATTGCCATAGAACTACATAGAAATGTATTCTTTGGGAATTGCACTCATTTAAAGCGAGAAAGTAGCAGCCTTACCTTTGACATTGATCAGAACGATGAAATGAAGTAGAAAGAACATTGTAATCAATCTGAGGCTGAAGAGATGTTTAAAAGCAGAAAAATAATCATAGGTTTACAGCAATTGAGTTATTAGACGTATCCTCCTCATACCTCAGCAGGAGTTCTGATGTAGTAACTTCAGTGCCTCCCATGTTCTGAGCATGCTCACAGCTAGAACTTTACTGGCATGAAGGGAGACGGATTCTTGTCACTATGCAGGCTGTCTTTTTTGTTCTTTCTTTTTTGTTTCTTTTAGTTTAAATCTACACTTGTGTTCTTGATCACTAATTCATTATGGTGTGTAAAAGGAAGTATAATAGGACTTTGATATTATTCGATAAGAAACATTTTTTAATCACTTAAAAATTTTTTTCCTCCAAAGCATGTACAACAATTTGCTGTTATTTAAATCCAAACATATATCGAAGTTCTTAAATATGAAGGATATACGCTTACACTGAATAGGCTATGAAACTCTTTACAATTATATTTTCATGCAATAAACAAATGTCAACAAGCTGCTTACTTACAGATACACAAAGAACACCCACTTCTATTCAAATGTACTTACATTTTTTCAAATGACACATAACAAGATAATTTAAATATATGGTGTTGTGTTAAATAATTACTGTAAAACATTCATACAATATTTTCACTTCACATACTTCCCCCATAATCATATTCCTTTTTCTTGAAGTGAATAATTTTATTCTTCCTTCCAGCTCTGTATTGCACACCTATTAGAAAACACTAATAATAATTTAGTTCTTACATCCTGAAAGCAGCTTTCTCAACAGCATAGTTAGTACAAGCTAAAGTATAAAAAGGGACTTTTGGTTGTAGGATTCTGTTGATCCCAGTGTAATCATTAAGACTTCTCCAAAAAGATGTAGAATTTCCATGTCTGAGTTTATATTTTACTAACAGGGAAATATCTATCTAGAATACAGTTTGTAGTTCTGATTTGGAGAGAAGATTTTGTGACTGAACGATGCAGATTCTCTTATATATTATTAACTGTGTGCTAACAACACTGAAAAAACTATCTTGTGGTGACTATTGTCATCACAAATCATAAAATATGGGGTTTTCCTTGTTCTTTCTTTCATTGTAGCCTTTGAAAGAACAAGGATTCAAACAGAATTTACAATAAAAAATACTGTATTTATCAGATAATGTATTTAGTTCTTTTCTCTTTTTAAGAAGTGAGTTAAATTCCCGAAGACACCTCCCAGATACATTTATATGTGGTCTCATCTGATCTTTCAAATGAAAAGAAAAAGCAACAGAGAGAATAAAGATGAAAAGAAATACTTCAAGATCTTTTCTTACATTTCAAGCATCTTTTTTTCCCTCACTAACCTCGAGGCCTTTTTAGGTAAAAATTACCTTATTTCACTTAAAGGAATGATTAGTTTTTCTCACGTGTTGTGTTTTGCTGTCGAGATGATGGATGCTAGTTTCTGGTACTGAAATTTTGAGCATGAGTTTTTAATAAATACCATGCAATTAAATACCATGAATTGTCCATCATAAGTGTATTTGAAGTACAAATATATTTTCTATGAAAATGTAATTTTTGGAGAAATAAGAAATGTCAAGATGTCAAAGAAATTAGTTTAGATTTCTTCATGGTATTGTTATTCCTTTCTGTGAGGCTTTTCAATGTTAATCTTTGAAATATATTAACACAAACATTCAGGAATCAATAATTATAAATAATAGGAACATCTTTGGCTCACTGGTTTTTATAGGTAGAATATGCAAGCTTTGAAATACCATTTCATTTAATATGTTTTAACTTTGACTTATCTGGTGTGAATATCCAGTCTTTTGCACTGAAACTGAAATGATTGACATTTACACAGGGATATAATATATGTGTTTAAATAAGAGTGAATGAATTTACTCTATTCTTAGAGCCACAGTTGGTAAGGAGGCTCCAGAGAGTGCTTCATGCAGAGCTGAGACGAAAGACTTGTGCAAACTGAATCCTCACTGGATAATTAACTTTGAATCTGCACAAGTGTGTTTTATTGATCCTTGCCTGAATCAGCTCATCCCTTCATCCCAGTCTCCTGTTGGTAGGACCCTTACTTTTAGCAATAATACTATAAAAGCTCATGTGAATATATTATTTACTATATAAAACAATTCAATATAATTCTGGCTAATTCAAGGGCATTTATTTACTGAAAGCATTAATTACCTAGTTCTATGTGGTGAGGGGAGGGCGCAGACATTTTCTTAGCTTCTACTGTCATTTTTATATACATCTTGGAAACTATTGTTAAATATAAAATTCTTAAATCAAGAACATAATTTATTTAAAAATGGTCAGAAACCCTAATTTTAATACATTTTCATGATTGCGTGATTGTTTTTTATATAGGGCATAATTCATTATCTTTCCAAATTAATGTTTTCAATTAAGATATTTACTAAACACTTACTCTGCTTAGTGAGAGTATAGCCTTGTAAACATTTCTCACTTCTATAGCCTTTTCACTTTATATAGCCTCTTATGCACCAAACCTGATCCATTAGCAGTTAGTATCACTTTCTGTTTTGGGGGAAACCAGACATACTGATATTCAAAGAACAAATTATATGAATAGATAAGATCTGTCCTCAAAAAGATAAATTATAGAATAATAAACATCCGAATCCCAAGCTCATGATAGCAGGCCAATAATGGCAATGTTCCCTTGAATAGCCTCCTTACCGTAAATCAAGTTATAGTAAAATCTGAGTAATTCAGCCATACTAGCTAAGTATTTGTGATTATAACTATATATTATCCTTTGTATGTGAGGTTATAGCATTGTCATTATTCAGTAAGATTTATTTGCATGCTGTGGGCACAGCAAACCTAACAATCACCTAATCTCATCAGCATAGTCAACATAGTGTGTCCATCAGTTGAGCAAACCAGTTCTGGCACAGGGTCCATTTTGATTAAGAAAGTCTAAATTAAGGTGTTTTTTTTTGTTTGTTTGTTTTTTTGTTTTGTTTTGTTTTTTTAGACAGGGTCTTGTGCAGTGGTGCTATCATTGCTCACTGCAGCTTCAACCTCCCAGGCCCAAACAATCCTTCTACCTCAACCTCCTGAGTAGCTGAGATCACAGGTGTATGTGACAACATCCACTAATTTTTCATATTCTTTTTTTGTAGACATGGGGTCTCCCTATGTTACCCAGTCTGGTCTTGAACTCCTGGGCTCAAGCAATCCTCCCACCTCAGCCTCCCAAAGTGTTGGGATTATAAGCATAAGCCACCATGCCTGGGCTTAAGTGTTCTAATTTTGATGTTCTAAGTTTAAAATAATTTAAGTCATGCTCCATTTGTCTGGGAATTTCAAGTCTTGGCAAGCTCAACTATTAGGAGCATAGCCACGAACCCAGAGTAAAAAATAACCCTGAGACATCCACTACTGGCAGTATGGTAGATTAGATACACTGAAAAGACTTCTTGCTTGAAAATGCTGTAATAGCTCCTGCATAAAACAATTTTGTTGCATTTCTGGAGTCTTCAGAATGAGGGGAATCGAATCTAAAGGGAAAATACATGACAAAAATAAAAACCAAATGCCGAAATGGCAATGGAGCACAGTAAACAAATGTAAAAGGCAAGATTGGTTTGCAAAAAATGCAGATAGCAGCACTACAACTTTTAGGCCTTGAGTCAGTGGCCAAATCCGAGAGCTAAGCCAGAGCTTCCTCGAAGGATCAGGCTAAAGACTATGAAAGGCGGTGTCCTGTAGCACCATTGCAAAAGAAATGCAAGCTCCATAATAAAAATATCCTTAATTGAAACCCCTACATTTTATCCAGGTTAAAATCAACTAAATATGAGCTCATTATCAAAGATCAACCAGGGATATATGGGTAAAAGTTGACAGAAACAAAGCAATAAATTTAGAACCCCACGTACTTCAAATATTGAGATGATCAGTTATGGAATGTAAAATATTTAAAGACTGCAATTACAAGAATAAATAAGGAATAAGAAAGCATCAAAAAGCAACAAAAAGAATTTTCAGAAATGAAAAATATGTTCCCAAAATTTTAAAACTCAATGGATACGGTAAAGAGCTGTCAAGACATAGTTGATAAAATAAGGTGTAAATGGAAATAAGGGAGTGAAGAAAGTTCCCAGAAGGCAGCATAGATAAACAGGGAATGGAAAAAAAAATGAAAGAAGAGACTAGGAGGAAAGCAGGAAAAATTTCAACACACAGCTAATTATAGTCCCCACAGGAGAAACTAGTGAGAATGAAGAGGAGATAATATCTGAGGAGATAATTATCGAGAATTTTCTAGAACTGATAAAATACAAGAATTTATAGATATAGCAAGGACAACTTCTGCTAGGCAGGACAAATAAAATGAATCTGTATTTACACATTCAGTTTTGAAATAGTATAATATAAAAGAAACCAGAGGGAAAAGACAGATCACGTACAAAGGGAAAATTAGAATGTTAGCAGACTTGTCAACAACAGCAACGGAAGCCAGAAGTGTAGTAATGCTCACAGTTCTGAGAAAAAATAACTGACAACTAAAGATTGTGTACCCCACAAAACGATCTTTTAACGGGAATGTAAAATAAAGTCATGCACAAGATATATGAATACTAAGAAGTTAGGTAAGAACCAAAATGAAAAACGCAGACCAAAAGTTTGATAGCGTTTCAGGGAGGGGAACAATCTGAGTTGCGAAGGTCATTAGGTGAAACCTCAGCTCTGTCCCTCTTGACTGATGGATTGAGAGATTAAGAAATAGTGTTAACTATTCTCCCAGTGGTATCAAGGCACACACGCCAAAGTAAGTCTGAAGGGTAGAAGGAAGTAAAACAGATTCTTGCTTCTGTGTGAAACTGAGAGCCTCCTCGGGTGCCTGTAATCCCAGCTACTGGGGAGGCTGAGGCAGGAGAATCACTTGAACCCGGGAGGAGGAGGTTGCAGTGACCCAAGATTGCAGGCTAGACCAAAAACTGGGTGGATACTCAAAAAGCATATTAGAGATATTATGGTATATTCCATTATTGTTCCCAATTATTCCACTCCCTGTAATAAGAGTATGTGCCCCCACATTTAGCCGTGTGCCTTGGCAGGGCCTCTCAGTGGGTAGTATATAGTTCTCTGCTCCATTGACTTTTGCCTCGGCCATGAGACTTGTTTTCAACAACTGAATGTGACTCGATGTGACATATGCCACCTTCCAGCAGAGGCTTGTTTGTTTGTTTGTCTGTTTGTTTTTTGAGAGGGAGTCTGGCGCTGTCGCCCAGGCTGGAGTGCAGTGGCGCCATCTCAGCTCACTGCGAGCTCCGCCTCCTGGGTTCACGCCTTTCTCCTGCCTCAGCCTCCCAAGGAGCTGGGACTACAGGCGCCCACCACGCCCAGCTAATTTTTTTGTTTGTTGTTTGTTTGTTGTTTGTTTGTTTGTTTTAGTAGAGACGGGGTTTCACCGTGTTAGTCAGGATGGTCTCAATCTCCTGACCTCGTGATCCACCCGCCTCGGTCTCCCAAAGTGGTGGGATTATAGGCGTGAGCCCAGCAGAGGTTTTAAGTGTGCTTTTGTGGTATGGCATGGTCGTTTGTACTCTCCCATTCCTTAGCCAGAATGAGAGTCACATGGGCCATGCTTGAACCAGAGTTCAGCCAGGCCCAGAAGAGCCACACAACAGCCACAGACCCATAGACAAGACATACATGTTTATTGTGTAAGCCACTGGAGACTTTGACTTTATTGTTGCTGCTGTGTTTGCCACAATAAAACGTAACTCAAACAGACAGATAAATCTGGAAATCATCAGTGTAATCCTTAGTTTTACAAGACTAAATCTGATGTGATTGGCCTAGAGGCATGTGCTGTGTATATTGCATAAATGAATACACAAATTTAATTTTTCTTTCCAGAGCTTTTCTTCGTTTGGAATGTGTTCTACATTATATACTATTCCCCATTTTCTTATAGTGAATTATTCAAAGATTACTTCCAGAGCTGGCATTCCTTTTATTATTCACAAAACAATTCCTGAACATTAAATTCTTTTGTCTTTCCGAAATTCTGTGTAATGTGACTGAACCTCAATATGCATTTAGTCAACAGGTGCTATTTTCTAAGGCATATGTATCATAATCTTTCAGTGCCTTCATTTGAAAACTTCAGGGAACATAAAATAAATTAGAACATTATTGGGGGCTGTTTAAATTTCCAAGTCTGTGTATTAAGTTTACCCTGAATAAATGTATTTTTATTTATAGAGTGCCAACCATATGTATTGCTGGGTAATGATCTTTGATTTAAAGTGAAAAGTCACAAATCATTTTTATCTAAATTCATTTCGAATTCATTATGCCAGCTCTACATTTGATAGGATTATAAAACACAGACCTGGCTGAGCCCACAGGGGCCCTCATCTGAGCTTAAAACCCACAACGACCATTCCTCTCTCTCTCTTCTCCTATCTCGCCTTTTGCGCGAGTGTGAACATTGATCTGTGCTCCGTTTCTCGATTACCTCATTTCCCTCATTCTGACAGCTGCCTGAAGTATGCAGAAAAGTTTTCATCCTGCTAACTCTTGGGAATTTTTTTTCAGATAAAAAGATTTTCTTTATTAATGACCCCAACTGTATTTCTTTAGATACAGGAGTTTTGAATCAAATACTTAGGAGAAAACAAGTTAAGATTGCAACTCTTTTTTTTTTTTTTTTTTGAGACAGAGTCTCGCTCTGTCGCCCAGGCTGGTGTGCAGTGGCACAATCTGGGTTCACTGCAAGCTCCGCCTCCCAGGTTCATGCCATTCTCCTGCCTCAGTCTCCCAAGTAGCTGGTACTACAGGCGCCTGCCACCATGCCCAGCTAAAATTTTTTGTATTTTTTTTTTAGTAGAGATGGGGTTTCACCGTGTTAGCCAGGATGGTTTCCATCTCCTGACCTCGTGATGGGCCCACCTCGGCCTCCCGAAGTGCTGGGATTACAGGCTTGAGCCACCGCGCCCGGCCACCCTGCAACTCTTTACCAGCAATATATTGCAAAGTGAAACAGCTTAGAAAAGAGGGTGGAACAGAAGGAGAATGAGGGAGGGAAGATAAAGAAAAAGGAATTAAGTTGATCAAGTGGTTTTTTTTTTTTTTTTTTTTAATTCTTGGGAGCTATGAAGTCGTTCTAGCACAGCTCTTTTCTGCAGATTATTTTTCAAATGTGTACAAAATGGAACCAAGACAGGGAATTCTTTAAGTATCTAAAGAGGTGCAACGTTAACAGCTACGATTACCAGTAGCACGTGTTCCAGCCTTCAGTTGCCAGCCACTTCCTCCTCCTGTTCCCAAGATTTAGCAGGATAAAAACATCTTCCCCAGGATGCCCTAAACAGTTTATTTTAGATGAAAGAATTAATGAGCAAAAGCAAGGCCCCAACTATTCAATACACAGATTAATCTCTGAATATCCGAGTCAACTCTGCTCCTCTTTGGGCAATCCTGGGACAGTCAGGATGCATATTTTTATTTCATTTATTGATGTGTTCGTTCATGAAATTTGGAGTTTACATTTAAGATGAAGTATGAGGGGGCGTGGCATATGTGGAAGGCTGGATGGAGTGAAGGAGGTTGTGGGAGGGCATCGCATGCAAGTAGAAGAGGGGGAGCATGTGAAGTGCTTTTTAAGCCATGGGAAGAAATGTAGACTTCACGTGGTGGGAAAGGGAGAGTAGTTGCAAAGCTTGAATCAAGGAGGGGAGAAAAGGTTGGCGTGCCCATGGAGAGGGTGTGCTGGAGAGGACAGACCCTGAAGGCAGGAAGACCTGTAAGATATACTGCAGTCATGTAAGAAGGCACGAACCAACAGCATGGCAGGGGGATGAGGAGAGGAAACAGACGTGAGATGTATTTTGGAGGAAGAATTGATGGGATGATGAGCCATGGGAGGAAGGGGGAGAGAGAGAAGTCTTGGGTGATTCTCAGGTCTCTGGGTTGAGCCACTGAATAACAGACCTACGAAGGGGAGCATTTGGTCAGGA